AATAATACGTAATAAAAACGCACACGCATTCTTCACACGAACCAATAATACGTAATAAAAACGCACACTCATTCTTCACAAGAACCAATAATAATAATACGTAATAAAAACGCACACCCATTCTTCACACGAACCAATAATACGTAATAAAAACGCACACCCATTCTTCACAAGAACCAATAATAATACGTAATAAAAACACACATTCATTCTTCACAAGAACCAATAATACGTAATAAAAACGCACACCCATTCTTCACAAGAACCAATAATAATACGTAATAAAAACACACAGAGAACCAACACTTATCCTTCGGAGAGAGTCTTTGTTGTTATTCAGTTCCAGGTCATTACGACCTTTTGAGCTTTGTCCAGCTGATCACCCAAATAAATCTGGCCTACTGATCTGGAACCAAGACTTTTTTATACATACATATATATGTGTGTATGTATATAACCAAAAGATCAATAAGATTCACCTGTGGATACGAATAAGAAAACACTAGAATATCAGACTTTTCCTTTTCTATTATTCATTTCTTCTACCGGTTTCTTGACTTCAAATAGTTTTACTGAGAATCCATTACAAAAAACATACAAATACCGCTTTTCAACTAAACATGGATAATCTAAATCAAATACATATACTTTCCAAATGTACAAACATATAATAAAGTCCATGAATAAATTAAGTACATTACAAATGTTCAAGAATAAATAAAATTAGTCAATATATTTTAAATTAAAATATTATTCTAATTATTATTATTATTAAGAAATACACTTTATTTATCAAATAATTTTATATACTTTTACTTACTTTTTCTTTTCTGTTAGTCTTGGTAACTGTTTTCACGGTTTGACAGTTCCTACTGACTTTACACAACCAGTTACTTCAGCCCCCTCATTACTATCTATTTAAATGGCGCCAAAAATTATAAAACATTCTTCCCTTCTTCGGGACATCTAACGTGGAATTTATGTAAATTTATTCATAATCTTAAATTATCAGCAATATATCATTCCCCACATTTTAAAAGATATATTACGTTCTTAGAATTGCAATTAAAGGAGTTATTAATAAAAAACAAACAAAGTGTCTTTGTTATTGTTCTTCTTTGTTTTGCCAGTTTTCATATAGCCTAAGTTACATAAAGCATAGAACTGTTACTGCTGAAGATACCTTCTTTAGAAAAATTTCATTTTTTTAGGTTTATTTAATAATCTATACAAATCTTTAGGTTGCCTTCTTGATAAAATAATTTTATTATTTTTGAATACATCTTTCAGTTTTTTATCTACTATTTGTTTTAACAAATGAAATATCAATATGTATATTTGGACAATGAGTTACAACAAAAGGTTCACTAATGTCTCTATTTAAATGTTTTCTGTCAAACATGCCAGTATACACTTTAATGAATGTATTTTGAGAAAATTTAAAATTCTAAAAGAACCACATTTTCATGTCTTCCCTTCTGGGAAATGTAATATAAAACATGAAAGATTATATTTTTTTTGGCGCCACCTTAAATATATAGTATTAAGAAGTCAGAAGTAACTGGTTGTGTAAAGTCAGTAGGAACTGTCAAACCGTGAAAACAGTTACTAAGATTTACAGAAAAGAAAAGTAAAAGTAAGTAAAAGTATATAAAATTATTTGATAAATAAATTGTATTTCTATAATAATAAGAATTAGAATAATATTTTAATTTAAAATATATTGACTAATTTTATTTATTCTTGAACATTTGTAATGTACTTAATCTATACATGGCTGTATTATATATTTGTACATTTGAAAAGTAATGTATTTAATTTAGGTTATTGTATGTTTTAGGTTATAGATTCACAGTAAAACTATTTACTGAAGAGTGACCTATGAAGTCACGAAACCGGTAGAAGAAATTAATAAAAGTAAAGGAAAAAAAGTCTGATATTCCAGTGTTTTCTAATGTCTCTCTCTCTCTGTGTCTATATAAATATATATAATGTAACCTTAAAAAAGTTAAACAGATAGATATCGTGGAGAGTTTTTTTTTTGTTATCTATTTATGGATTTTTGGAAAGGGTAAGAAGAAGAGAGTTTATAAAGGTTATATATATAACCTTTATATATATATAAAGGTTATATATATAAGTCAGACGTGGAAGACCCATGTATTAAAAATGTATTTAAATTTTACTTTGTTTGACTTAACTTTCGTCTATTTTGATGGCTTTCATTCGTAAAAACCGCATTGCAATAGCAGTGTACGTAAGACTAAATCATGGAATAGAAACACCCATTAAACATAAGTAAGCCCTATACGTTTTTACATTATTAGACGTAGGTATAGTTTATCTTATTTAGAATAAAAATTTAGCTCCTACTGCCTTTCACAGAATGTATCATCCCTTCGTCGTCACACTTTGGAACCATCTCCTCGAGACAACTGACGTCTTATCTCCTTCGTTGCACGGAGTTAGATATGTTGATCGTTGCTCCGAAATACCAGCACATACATGTTAAGGTAAGGGTTAAGGCTGCAACTATAAACTTGTTGTTGTTTTATTTCATCATTCTTTACGCTTTCCGTTAGTAATCTTGTGACACACACAACAGTTGCGCGCGCTTTAAACGTGCCGTTATGTATAGATGTGGATATTTGTAATGGTTTGTGTGTATGTGATGAATTTTTAATCAGGAATGTAGTGAACTTAAAGCTTTATGAGTTAATGACAATAAAGTTTTATTACTGAAATAGTTTGATCATCACGTTCTTATCTTTTTATAACATATCTTAACTATTGAAATTAGGGTTGTGATTCCTGTAAATATTTTATGAGAAATTTGGCATACAGATAGATAGTGGGTTTAAGCAGGTGGAGAGTTAGTTAGATAGATACTCCAGTATTGCTTTGGTTTTTAGTTTTGTTGATAAACGTCCGTAGTTTGTTTGTTTGTAATTAAACACAAAGCTCACAATGGTCTATCTCCGCTCTGCCCACAACGGGTATCGAAACCCGATTTCTAGCGTTGTAAGTCCGCAGACATACCGCTGTGCCACTGGAGGGCACGTTCATAGCAAACACCACGTGAATAAAAGTTCACAACAAAAATCGTGTTGATAAAAGTCCAGTTTCAGTTTTTACCTCTAAGAAAACGTTTTTACAATATCTCCGAAAAAATGTATAAAGACAACTTTTGAAATACAAGTGATTTTGCACGGGTATTTTGAGTTCGTTTTAAACGTGAACTACGTGCATGGTACCGTGATAAACAGTTTAAAAATATTTAAATATCTTAACGCTGTTTTTCTAACCAACACTTCCTTGCAAAGGACCGGTCAATAACGATTAATTGTTGCCCCCTTGCACTGCGCGAGATTAAATGAAATTGATTTCTTTAAATCGCCTTACCTAACTGAATAAGCGAGAACTTCTATTCTTAAGAAACCTTGTAATTAGGCTTATCCTCGCCTTTCAGTTCTCTGTAAAATATAGTAATTTTTAACCTATTAAAATACTAATGCAAAGAAGCTAAGAGTAATTTTATGACGTATTATATGTGTGTGTGTGAAATTAAAGGCAATCATGTAACGTACTATATATACAAACATAAATCAATACACGTTTTTTTTTTCATGAACCCGTCAGCGGTAAGTCTGCAGGCTTACAACACTAAAAATTGGGTTTATATACCTGTGGTGGGCAGAGCACAGATGAGCCCATTGTGCAACAATCGAGACCAGAGAGTTTTTTTTTTTGTCATCTTGCAAATATAACATACAATGTCTCAAAGATATGAGACGTTTTCGCTCACTTTGGATATTTTTTTTATCGGATAAGAAGTGCAGTTTCGAGTTATGCCACTAGCTAAGTCGATAATGGATCAATAATCTTTGTATCAATATTACATTTTGGTAACGACGTGCGCGGAGTTTTGTTAATCCAACTGGATTTGTTAGTTCGTTAGAAAACATGAAGTATCCGTATGAGAATAGGACGAATCACTGGATACTATTTTGAATAAAAGAATTTAACTGGGTATAGAACTATTGCAAATAAACAAGATCAAACCGCTCATTGGCTGTAACGTATTACTGCAACAATGTGGCGCTTCTTGGTGGTTATGCACCGTATTTAGTAACGACTTTGAAACGTCGTTTCTCACATTTTCCGAGTCGAGGATTGTTGTTAGAGAATGTGTTTGGAACTAAGTGGATTTTTTGTATGATGTGTTTAAAAACTAAAGATGGAGGACCACAGACCTTCTGTTAGTCGGTAATGGTTAAGAGGTATAATATAATTATTACTATAGATATCCAGGGATTTAATTAGTTGTCAATAAAAAAAACTATTTGTATAACTATTAGTTGCATAGTACACGATCACCTTGAGCTTCAGAAGAGGCTGCTCTTTACTCACGTTTACATGAAAGAGATGGCTCTCATCTGAAAACCTTGAGCTTCAGAAGAGGCTGCTCTTTACACACGTTTACATGAAAGAGATGGCTCTCATCTGAAATCCTTGAGCTTCAGAAGAGGCTGCTCTTTACACACGTTTACATGAAAGAGATGGCTATCATCTGAAATCCTTGAGCTTCAGAAGAGGCTGCTCTTTACACACGTTTACATGAAAGAGATGGCTATCATCTGAAAACCTTGAGCTTCAGAAGAGGCTGCTCTTTACACACGTTTACATGAAAGAGATGGCTATCATCTGAAAACCTTGAGCTTCAGAAGAGGCTGCTCTTTACACACGTTTACATGAAAGAGATGGCTATCATCTGTAAAGTAGAAATATGTACAGGATCTAGAAAAATCAATCTATCTTAGAATTTATCACAAACACGCTGTGATTCATTTTCTTTTTAGAAACATGACCTTGTATAGCTTATAAAGTTTCTTTAAACTATTGAACAACAAATAGATTCAGGTGTCTATATAATTTCGTCTGTAAAATCAGCGTGCCATCCACATATGAGGTAGACCTAACGAAAGCTGATATACCAGTAGTCAAATCGCACTTACTGTATACGTTTACGTCTTTTGTCAGCTAAAAAAAGAGAGTGTACTTTCTGTTGAAGGTATTCAACCATTTCAAGTGATGTAATTAACTTAGCTTTCCTGTATCAAAATGTATTATTCTCCTGTCAAACAAACTGTACTACAATAAGATCATTAAACAATAAGAATTGGTGAAAGCACAGAAGAATCAATATGGCTCTGTCTAAGAAATCACACAAGATGTAAGAATATTTTTTGCAACATTAATATTTTTTCTTTAAGTTTTTAGGATTGTCTACAGGGCCAGAAGGAAGTATTACAGTATTTATGAGCCACGAAAACACGCAACCAGTATGGTATATCGCGCCTAATTCCTCCACAACTGAAGATATACCACCAGTTTTCATTTCTCACCAGCGTTTCATGCTACTGAAGTTTCACTCGTGCGCGGAGTGCAACGTTTCGGCGACATTCTACTCTCTTGGTGGAACCAACGGTACGTCTTGTTAGTCTGTGAGTTATGTTACAGTTTACGTCTTTGTTGGTCTGTGAGTCATGTTACAGTTTACGTCTTTGTTGGTCTGTGAGTCATGTTACAGTTTACGTCTTTGTTGGTCTGTGAGTTATGTTACAGTTTACGTCTTTGATAGTATGTGTGAGTTATGTTACTGTTTACGTCTTTTTTAATCTGTGAGTCATGTTACAGTTTACGTCTTTGTTGGTCTGTGAGTTATGTTACAGTTTACGTCTTTGTTGGTCTGTGAGTCATGTTACAGTTTACGTCTTTGATAGTATGTGTGAGTTATGTTACAGTTTACGTCTTTGTTAGTCTGTGAGTTATGTTACAGTTTACGTCTTTGTTAGTCTGTGAGTTATGTTACAGTTTACGTCTTTGCTAGTCTGTGAGTTATGTTACAGTTTACGAAATAAGATTTGAATGAAAAACTACATAATTACAAACGTAAACAGTATAAAGTACACTGTGCAAAGTGCGTAAATAAATTTTTCTTGTTTTAACTAACAGTCTATAAAGATTCGAAAAAATTTAAAAAATTCAATACGATATGGCAAGGAGGGGGGGGATGCCATACTTTTAAACATGGGGCAATGTGCATATGTGTATATAACTGTGCCGAAGATGTAGCAGTTGTGCAACACTGCATCATTATAAATTTTATACGACTCCAGAGACACCACGCGGTCGGCCTTTCTCTCATTCTCTCTGCTTTGTTTATTTATTTGTTGAGTTTCGCACAAAGCTACTCGAGGGCTAACTGCGCTAGCTGTCCCTAAAATTGAAGTGACAAACTAGAGGGAATGCAGCTAACCAACACACCCACCGCCAACTCTTGGGGTACTCCTTACCAACGAATAGTGGGATTAACTCTCACATTATAATGCTCATACGGCTGAAAGGGCGAGCATGTTCGGCGACGGGGATTCAAACCCACGACCCACAGATTGCAAGTCGAGCGACCTAACCAACAGGCCATGTCAGGCCTGTTCTATCTCTGAAACACAAAATTTCTTTGAGATTTAGGGGGACCAAAAGATATACTGATCCATTCAAAAATTATTAATAAATAATAAATACATTTATTTTGGTTTAATTTGATAAAAATCTCAAACTTTAACATTTTGCATATTTTCGTAAAGCCATATTCAGTTTCATTATCAACTAGTGTTCGTAATAATCACACATTTTAAAAGCACCAGTTAGTGATGAGATAATACTCATTGTCGCTACACTTTCATAAAATGTTTAAATCCTTTTGTTCGGATCTTTGCTCTACTTATATTTCTTTCTTGAGACTGTGTCTAGTATTATTTTTCCCGCTCTTTTTAAAATTTCTTCCGCCTTTCTTAGTTAACCTTTTTAATTAACCAACAAAGCCTATTGTTTGCAGAGCCGTAATCAAAGAAGTACCTAACTTGTGTTTTCATCACGGCATGCCTATGAAGTTGTAGAGTGAATTGAGTTGTAAAGGTTTTAAAATTAACATAGAAGGTTTAGCATTTAGAGCTGTAAAGCTAGTTAAGACCCAGGTAAAAAATAATATAACAAATCAAGTAAAGTTTTCAATTTGAAACTTGCTGTTTCTAAGTCAAGTACAGTTTATCTGGGCATCCAGGACTGTTTCTCCCACACAACTGAGTTGAACTAAGACTCGACGAGGTCAGGAAAGGTCAAATTTGGTACAAGTAAATCGTTGATTTAAACACGGAGATGAGAGATTCAGAGAAATCCACATAGTTAAATCATTATCAAAATAAACAAAAGGAAAAATGAAAAGGAAATGTAATGATCTTGTTTTCAGTGGCTTTAACTCCAACTAAAACAGATTAGATACATCTCTAATGCTGACTAAAACAGATTAGATAGAGCTCTAACTCCGACTAAAACAGATTAGATAGAGCTCTAATGCTGACTAAAACAGATTAGATACATCTCTAATGCTGACTAAAACAGGTTAGACAGAGCTCTAACTCTGACTAAAACAGATTAGATAGAGCTCTAACTCCGACTAAAACAGATTAGATACATCTCTAATGCTGACTAAAACAGATTAGATACATCTTTAATGCTGACTAAAACAGATTAGATAGAGCTCTAACTCCGACTAAAACAGGTTAGACAGAGCTCTAACTCCGACTAAAACAGATTAGATAGAGCTCTAACGCTGACTAAAACAGGTTAGACAGAGCTCTAACTCCGACTAAAACAGATTAGATAGAGCTCTAACGCTGACTAAAACAGGTTAGACAGAGCTCT